GGGAATTTTTGGCGTCTTTATGGTGCCAAACTATGGCGAGGGAAGGGAGTATGCCGTCCGCCGGTTGCGGAAGGAGATCGATGAAGCTTCAGCAGAGCGGCCACAGCGACGAGCAAACCGACCAAGGCCGTCCATCATGATCCCATTTAGCCGCGACGAAGACTTTGTCGACAGGCAGGCTCTCCTCGACCAGATGTCTCAGAAATGCAGCCAGCCGGGGTCTCGCACTGCGCTTGCCGGCTTAGGCGGCGTCGGGTAGGTAAACCCCCCTGCTGCACAGGAAACAGTCGGCTAACTGTTTTGAAGCAAATCTCAGCTCGCTATCGAATATGCATACCGGGTCCGAGACCGATCACCTGAAGCATGGGTCTTTTGGATATATGCGAGCAATGCAGCCCGCTTCGAGCAGAGTTTCCGAGAAATCGCGGCGCACGTCAAAATCCCAGGCCTGGATAATCCAGAGACTAACATATTTCAGCTAGTGCGTGACTGGCTAGGCGATGAAGAAAATGGACCGTGGCTCCTTATCCTGGACAATCTGGATGACGCCAGCTTCTTGACAGCTTCGTGTGTCAACGGGGAGGGGCACCCTGCCAACATGGATGGCACGAACTCGCAGCCGCTTATTCGTTGCCTCCCCCAGTGTCAACACGGATCTATTCTCGTCACCTCGCGAAGAAGAGAGGCCGCGTCAGAGATGGTTGAGGACCGGAATATCATCGCGGTCGGTCCGATGGGCAAGGAGGATGCGTTGAAACTCCTGCGAACAAAGCTACGCCAGCATGAGGTAGACAATGTCATGGACGAGCTGACTGCAGCACTCGAGTACATGCCACTCGCCATCGTTCAGGCGGCTGCTTATATTTCGCAGAAGTGGCCGCCATGCTCGGTGCAGCAATATCTCGACAAGTTCCTGAAAAATGACCGCAAGAAAGCGGGTCTTCTCAGCTACGAGAGCGGAAAGCTTCGTCGGGACCTGAGCGCCAAGAACTCGATCCTCATCACCTGGCAGATATCATTTGACCATATCCGTGAGATTCGGCCATCGGCAGCTCACGTTCTATCGCTCATGAGCTTTTGCGACCGGCAAGGGATTCCGGCAAGTCTGCTCCAGGTAGATGGCGATGACGACGCAGTATCTCAGTGCGGTGACAGTGGTGGAGATGGGGACGGTGAAGGCGACAGCAACGACGATGACAGTGAAGATGGCTATGGCAGCAGTGATGGCGAGGACAGTGATGACGGCAGTGAGGATGACGATGGCAGCAGCGATGAGGAGTTCAATGTTGGATTTGAGGACGACATCATCACGTTGAGAAATTTCTCATTCATCACGACCAATGGAGATGGGAAAACGTTCGAAATGCATCGGCTGGTGCAGCTAGCAACGCTGGAGTGGCTCGAAGCCCACGGAAAGCAGGATCATTGGAGGCACAGGTTTCTTAAAAATCTCACCGAGCGTTTTCCGACAGGAGAATATGAGAACTGGGCGGAATGCCGTGCACTCTTCCCGCATGCGAAGTCGGCAGCAACCGTTGCTCCAAAGGAAGATGAGTCATTGCTCAACTGGGCGGCAATACTACACAATGCAGCTCTGTATGCAGAGAATATGGGGAATAGAGCAGAAGCGGAGAAAATGGGCATACAAGCGATGAGAGCGATGAAGAAGGTACTGGGGCTGGAGCACCCTGATACAATAACCAGTATGAATAACCTGGCGTCAACATATTGGGGTCAGGGCCGATTAGCAGAGGCTGAAGGGCTACAGGTACAAGCGATGGAGATGAGGAAGAAGGTACTGGGGCCGGAGCACCCTGATACAATAACCAGTATGAATAACCTGGCGTTAACATATAGGGGTCAGGGCCGATTAGCAGAGGCTGAAGGGCTAGAGGTACAAGCGATGGAGATGAGGAAGAAGGTACTGGGGCCGGAGCACCCTGATACAATAACCAGTATGAATAACCTGGCGTCAACATATAGGGGTCAGGGCCGATTAGCAGAGGCTGAAGGGCTAGAGGTACAAGCGATGGAGATGACGAAGAAGGTACTGGGGCCGGAGCACCCTGATACAATAACCAGTATGAATAACCTGGCGTCAACATATAGGGGTCAGGGCCGATTAGCAGAGGCTGAAGGGCTAGAGGTACAAGCGATGGAGATGACGAAGAAGGTACTGGGGCTGGAGCACCCTAATACAATAACCATTATGAATAACCTGGCGTTAACATATAGGGGTCAGGGCCGATTAGCAGAGGCTGAAGGGCTACAGGTACAAGCGATGGAGATGAGGAAGAAGGTACTGGGGCTGGAGCACCCTGATACAATAACCAGTATGAATAACCTGGCGTTAACATATAGGGGTCAGGGCCGATTAGCAGAGGCTGAAGGGCTACAGGTACAAGCGATGGAGATGACGAAGAAGGTACTGGGGCTGGAGCACCCTGATACAATAACCAGTATGGGTAACCTGGCGTTAACATATTGGGGTCAGGGCCGATTAGCAGAGGCTGAAGGGCTACAGGTACAAGCGATGGAGATGACGAAGAAGGTACTGGGGCTGGAACATCCTGGTACACTGACGAGTTTGAATAACCTCGCCTTCACCTGGGCAGGCCAGGGTCGTCTTGATGACGCACTGGACTTGATGCATCAATGTGTTCAATCTCGGCAGAAGGTACTTGGCCGGGATCATCCCGACTCAACGTCCAGTCTTGCTGTATTGGAGAAGTGGCAAAGAAGGCGAGCAGCGCAAGGAGAAGGGGAGCGGAGTGCGAATTTGGTTTAGATTGATCTGGCGAAAGAGGTTGAATGAAATGGTAGCTCACCTAGCGAAGTTTGAAGGAATGATCATTCCTAAGTAGATACAATAGGCGTCAATCCAGATTCACTCCCCTATCTTATTACCACACTTGGGTGGCAACTTCGCGGACTTTCTCGACCTTTCCGAAGCCCCTTTTCCCAAATGGATCCCTTTCAGGATCCACCATATCATGGAACGAAACCTCTTCTCGGCTCCATGTGTGTAATAAGATGGCGCAGGATGGCGGTCATATCGGCTAAGCACTACCAGCGAGGTAGCGTCCCCGCCCTGGGCTAAATGCCGGCCCAGTGTTACTCATCGGCGTCTTAAATATATCCCGGCAACTGACGTATGCTCTCTCCGCCCACATTCCGATGTTACCGCATTCTTAACAACGCAATCTCAACTCAGGGCCACCTCATGGCATCCTTTCACCCAGCATCCAACACGACTCATGAACACCACCATGATGCTCCTCCAACACCTCCCCCTATCTCACCTCTACACCTCCCTTCCCTTCATGTCCCACCAACCCACCCTCCTCTGTCACCCCTCCACATTCACCCCCATCCTCCCCCCCACCGCCCATATCGAATCCCTCACCTCCCTCTCCACCAACACCACCTCCCACGTATTTGAATCCCCCCTCACCAACCCCGCCTACCCAACTCCCCCCTCCAACCTGCCCCCCCTCTGCGCCCTAACCATCAACGTAACCACCTCCCCCGCCTCCTCCTACCGCTTCGGCCTCTTCCTCCCCACCCACACATACAACTCCCGCTTCCTCGCCGTCGGCAACGGCGGTTTCGCTGGCGGTATCAACTGGCCAGACATGGGCGCTGGCGTACAGTATGGCTTCGCGACGATTTCAACTGACACCGGGCATAACAGTACCAGTGGCGACTTACGCTGGGCTTTGAACGAACGAGAGAAACAGACGGATTTCGGGTGGAGAGCAGTACACGGTGCCGTGGGACTCGCAAAGGAAATCATACGGGTGTTTTACGGGAGTAGGGTGAAGAAGGCGTATTACAGCGGATGTTCGACCGGAGGCAGACAGGGGTTGAAAGAGGTGCAGGTCGACGCGGAGAGTTTTGATGGGGCGCTGATAGGGGCTCCGGCGTGGTGGAGTAGCAATTTGGCGACGTGGACGACGAGGGTGCATTTGTACAACAAGCCGGTTGGAGGGGAGGGGTACTTGGATGCGAGATTGATGGGGTTGTTGGGGAGGGAGGTGGTTAGGCAGTGCGATGGGGTTGATGGGGTGGAAGATGGGATTGTGTCGGCGGGGGAGAGGTGTCGGTTTGACTTTGAGAGGGTGTTGTGTGGGCAGCCAGGGGTGGATGGGGGAGAGTGTTTAAGCGTGGCGCAGGTGGAGGCGGCGAAGGGGGTATATAGAGATTATGTGGTGGATGGGCAGTTTATGTTTCCGGGGCTGTCGCTGGGGAGTGAGCCGTTGTGGAGCGTGTTGCTGGGGCAGGCTGGGCCGGATCCGAGGGGGCAGGAGTATGTCAAGATGTTTGTGCTTGGTGACGCTGAGTGGGATTGGCGGCAGTACAATGACAGTATCGCGAAGATGGCGGCAGCGGCGGACCCGGGGGATCTCACGGCTGATCAGTTTGACGTGTCTGGGTTCAGGGATCGCGGCGGCAAAATCATCATGTATCATGGCGATGCGGATGGCATGATTCCCGTCAAGAGTTCCGACTACTACTACAACAAGACAGCGGCGGCTATGGGCGGTGTTTCGGCGCTGCAGTCGTGGTTCCGGTATTTTCGCGTCCCGGGACTTGGCCACTGTGCGGGCACGCGTGTCAACGCGCCGTGGTATTTTGCGGGCGGGAATCAGGCTGGCTCATTCGGCACGGCGTACTCGGTCCCCGGGTTTGAGGACGCTCAGCATGACGCCCTGCTTGCGCTCCTCGACTGGGTGGAAAAGGGGGTGGCAGTCGAATCCATCATCGCAACAACGTGGAACAATCCGTTGAGCCCTGCATCAGGGGTTCTGAGACAGAGGCCCCTTTGCCCGTATCCCAAAAAACAACAGCTTGAAAAGGGTGGAGAGGAGAAGGACGCAAAGAGTTGGACGTGCGTATAGCAAGGACCTGGCACCGGGTATTCTGGCAAACTTCGTTCCCACCCTTTCCCATGCAAACCAAAAAGGTAAACAAGCCTCCAAGTGTTTTGGTGAACTCAGTGGACAGTTTGGGAATCGGACCCAAGGGCCTTTCGCGGATTTGACAATACAAAGCGAACGCTCTACCCCTGAGCTAGAAGCACTAAACGGTGGAAACTACTCTGTCACGTCCAAAGGAGCTCTTTTGTTGGGAATATGCACTTGAGGGCGAACTTAGCGTTGACAACTCAAGGGAGCTAGAGATGAGACTAACCGCTCGAAACATCCTCGATGATCCATACCCAACCTCTCGTCATATTTCCGAGTCAACGTCGTTAGTATCGTTGGTTTTGTATCGGCTCGTATGGGCAAGCTTCTCGAGTCGATGCTCGATGGTACCTGAGTGAGCTGGAGCGTTGCGCCCCTGCATAGCCTGCCTTGCAACTTCCCGAAGAAGTGACTGTAAGTCTAATTCCAAGACTTTCATGTCCACGGGACTCGCAGACATCAATACATCCTTGAGAGCTTGATTCAAAGCCAATTACACGTAACCTGCGACGGCGGTGCCATTCGAATGAACATGCTCAACTGCCGAAAGAATCCCAAAGTGACAGTTCTCGACGGCCCACGCCGCCCGTGGAAGCATGTTTCGTTCGTCTCTCCATGGCAAAGACGCAACTACATGCTCTGGTGGATGATTGACCAGTTCTTCGAAGAGTTTGTACTCTGCGGGATGGAGATCTGGATGGAACCGGGCCGTGTGATAGATCCAATGTCGATGCACATAGTTGGAAAGTGCGAGAAGTTCCGCAGCGTCGGCCTTCGGTGGGATGTAGCGCTGCAATAGTTGTCCAATATTGACGTCCCTTCGAGCTGCTGGGCGTTTGCTTTTCAGCACAGCGATTATCCTTGACGCTCCGCTGGGACTTTCGTTTCTTGTGACGCGGGCAAGTTCGTCTGTGAGCTGACCGGAGTTCAAGGCCACTTTAGACTGCACAGTCAGGGCACTTTCGAACATGCTGTACGACAGGTATGTGACGCAAACCAGTCCAAAATACAGTTCCGCCTCTCCTTCAAAAAGTAACGGCTGTGGGCGCCTTTCCTTGCCTGATCCTCTGCTTCAACAGTTTTGGCGCCATCGATAAAGTACTGGTAAATGCTGTGATGAATGAATTGCACTGTATTATCTTCTTCATCGATGTCGAGGAGGCCCCCGCCACATAGCGGCACAATGGCCCATTTGTCTTTTGGAAGGGACGAAGTGTCCCAGTTCGTGTTCCCCGGCTCGACATGAAGGGCGATCCGTAGCTCATCGATGGTCAACGGTCGTCGGGCAGCCATGATAAGCTGGAAAATGCGCTTCCCGTATCTTGCATCCGGCACTCTGTCGAGAGCCCTATCGAGGGCATCCCAAAGGCCCTTTGGCAAGTTTTGCAGAAATTGGGTAATGTCCGAGGCCGAGATCAGTGTCCCGTCATGCGGAAACAAAACGTGAATCTGCAAAGCAAGCCAGAGATACCTGTCGCAGTGTAAGTTGAAAGTATCAATGAAGCGGCAGATGCCATGCCCAATGGCCGCTCGAGAAGACTCACATTCCATCCGCAGCTCCAACAAGCACATCTTTGAGCATTTTCTCAGTAGAGACATCCAGATCCCGAAGGTGTCTGTGTCGCTCAAATTCTGCTTCGACGAATTCCTTCATGTCCGCGATCATAGCAGGGGTTCCCATTCTAATCTCAAACTTTCTGAATGGAAAAAGGGGATGAAGTCGCTTAGACACTGGTGCCCCTGTTCGAGTTGAACAGCACACACGGACAAGACGTGACATCGCAAAGCGGTTGAGGGCTATCAGGGTTTCGCCCCCAACTGAGCTTTCGCATTCGTCTAGGGCGTCTAGAAGAATGTAAATGGGCGTCTCACTGGGCAGACTGTGGCCAAGTATATCGAGTGCATCGGCATCGGGGGCGGAGTCCCACAGCTTGAGGTGATCTTCAAGTTGAGAAACAAACAGGCAACCAGGCTCCAGCTGAGAGACAATCTGTTGTAAAACACTCCCCATGATATCTTCGTATGTATTCGAGCCCGGGTGATCATTTTTGCAAAAGACGTAGGCTGTGATGTTCCTAGCTCCGTCTTGCATGTCTGCGGTTTTTGCTGGGACACTCTGAAGTTCGGCCACAATTGTTGCTATGAGAACCGTCTTTCCGCTTCCCAGTTTCCCGTGAATCCAGAGCATGGTGGGTTCCATCGAGTCTTTCCAGGCTTTGTAAGCATCGTGCGTGAAGACCCATTTCGCGGTTCCTTTCCTGCGCTGCCTGCGCCATGCTTTGGCTCGCTCGAATTGCCTTGCGCAGAGTCGATCTTGGAGACGGCAGCTTTGCAACACGAGGTCGTTCTGCTTCTGCTTTTGTGACAAGCCCAGATGTGTCAGTGCTCGGTCAATCTTGGTAATCATGTCCGCAGCGTCGAGTTGTCGTCGACTGAGGAGAACCATTGCTCTTCTATCGATAGCGTTGCTCCAGTTCAAAAGCTCGTTCTCAAACTCTTTCGCTTCCTTGTCGAAGAACCCTATGAAGGGCGAGGCCAGTTGCAGCATAGTCTTTCTTCCAAGAGCGCTGATGATCTTTCCGAAGAACGACACCAAGGCGATGAGATACTCGCACATCAGATCTTGTAGCTCCTTGGACGTTGGAAAAACTTGAATGATGTCTTGTGTGATCGAGGATGACTTGGCAATCCTAAGGAATAGCTCTGATAGACGCTTGAAGAACAACAGAGAGCCGACTGCAATCTACGGGTAAGTGAGCACCAGAGCCGGCTGCAGTGGCGTGTGGACGGATGCTTACCCCTAAACTTATCTTCACAGCTACTCAAACCCCGCTCGCAATCATGTTCTGGGAGGACCCGACAAGGAAACTCCCAACATGGGACAGGGCCTGGACTCGCTCGAGGAACAGCGACATGCTCGTTGCGTACGGGCGCCAGGACTTGTGAGTGCAGGAACCATCGCGATTGATCTCCTCCGTCAATTGGATGATGTCTTGAGGATGGGGCGGAGATTTGGGTTGGTGAGCTTTGAACTCACGCCTCCGACTTTCGGGAAGACCGGCGCAGAACTCGGATAGAGCCTGAGCCAACCTGATCTCGGGCTTCAGCTTTGCGGCACGACTGAGGGCGGTAGACATCGCGATTGCAGCTGCCGAAGGGCATTCGGCAATTGGCACACGGACTTTTTTGTCAAAGTGCCGATGGCTGGTGGTTTTGGCCTCGTAGTATTGGCGCCCAAGTCATGGCAGAGAGCTGAAAAAAAAATGTTGAAGGAGGGGCCGGGAGCCTCCGAAATTTGCGATTGGCCTGATAATTGGGGATGCAGCCTGCTAGACAAAAGGAGCGCCCACGTGATACTTGCGGTGTGCCTATTTCGACTGAGGCAAGTGCACCCTTCAAAATGAAATATCTGGACAGAATGGAAGATCTCTGACGGAAAGTGAGCCCCCACCAATATCTCCTCTTAACTCCAATAGATTGGTTAATAACTGAAAATAAACTGGTGTAGTTTAACAGAGATTCTGGCTGAGAAGAATTGTAGAGAATCTCCTCAGCTGGTATTTAGGCCGCGTGCATTGCTCCTATCGAGGTACGCATTTTGCCCATAAAAGTTCCCTGTCTGCTCAGAAGGGTCCAGAACCAGTAGCTATGAGGACAAAAAACCGCACCATCTGAACGACAACGAAGATTAGAAGCTGTCGTTATTATTGGGAGGGCGAAAACGTGTTCTGGACCTTGTCGTTCACTTTCTCTTTGTGGTAAGTTGCTGACTTAGCGGAACTTGGGCCACGTGCCTAAAACGGTAGGCCTCGTTCCCACGAAGTTTCTTGTCATACCGTTTCCCAACTCCGTTTCCCAATCTTATGGTGGTGTGATTCTAACTTCGCCCTTGTGACCTTTATTCCCATAACGCGTTGCGAATTCTCTTCTTAGCTAACCAAACACGCTTGCGGCCCTCCTCCCAGTAGTGGTTGAGATGGGGCATGCGTGGTAAAGGGACAGCCCACTTTTGTACTACGCCCCTTCATGCCGTTTCCGTGGCCCATATCTCTGCTGACTTATTTGGATCGCGGGGCAGCTAGGGTAAACATGTAACGCGCCTCTTTTTACTTCGCATCAGGAGCCCGCCATCCGCAATGGCAGACCAACCGCAAAAGGGTTTGTACAGTAGGACATAATGAATAATGACATTACCCCGGTGAGGAACCAGAAGGGTCCCACCCATCGTAGACATGATGATGGTATTATATTACGCCTGTAAGAGGTAGCTTGTACCCTCCTCGGTCTGATCAGTGTCATTCCGACTGAGCACGTTAAGCGCGGTCTTGGCGTGCTTAGTCCGCTCAATCTGCCCAACCGACTAAGCGCATTAAGCAAAATATGGTTTAGACAAGTAGGCAGTACTCTGCGGTTCAAATGGTAACTTTTCACGAGGTCCCGGTTTTGGGCTATCTCTGCACGCACCAGAGGATAGATCATCTGACCCCAAAACCCCTGAAGCGGGCTTGGCGCCAAGCCTTTTTTGAACCTCAACTGACCCCCAGTCAAACCTCATCTGACCCCAAAACCTAACCTCACTTGACCTTAAAATCACAACTTTATCAATTTAGGTCCAATTGATATGAAAGTAAGTGAGTAAAGACCGGAAAATTCAGTTAAAAATACTTACGTGTTTTACTTTTACAATATCAACGGCTATAATTTTAAATATATTTATTTAATATTGTTAAATTCTAGCCTCTGAGAGCGCTAAAGAGGCCCTGTATTTACAGGGCCTGCCAGTGAGGAAGGCGCTGGGTACCCTGCACCCACTGGGTACCCTGCACCTGCAGCCACCACCCACTAGCCACAATGTGGCTTGGAACCTTCTGGAATCCAGAAGGCCTCAGGGCCTTCAGGGGGCCACAGAAGGCTCTGGAAGCCCACAGGCTTCCACAACCTTCTGAGGCCACATCAGTGATTACGAGGCCTGTGGAGAGCCTCCACCGTACTATTCTATTATGAAGCTGGAACTAAATTGAATTGGGTTTACGGGATGCCCCATCCAGATAGAATGGAAGTATCTGAAAAGATATATATAAATATTTACTTTAAATTAAATAAAAAAATATAAATT